GCCGAGCGAAAATGCATGCGTCCGTGCGTTTTTGCATGCGTGCGAAAATGTCCGGTGGACTATAAATCTGTATCACACACGTTTCGAAGTATGCGGTTTCGAAACTGTAAACAAGTCAGTCAACTGATTTCGTGGACTGCGGATTTCAATTAGACATTTCTTCGTAACCAGCAGTGATATTGGACAAACTAATACGCGTTTGGCTATAAGGTAATGTAGGTACTTATTAACTACAGTCTACACAAGGTGCCAGTTACTCTAGCATTCGTTAAAATTGCATAATCGATGGGCCTATTATGCCTTTAACATTTATTAGCTAATGCCACAGTTACTGAGTTAGGATTACCGGACAATTTAAAAACTTAGCTTTTCATGGACACATCACACTGACAAGAATCAAACAGTACAGGTCATTTCTAACATAAAAGTAAATTAAAACTAAAAGCAAAGCAATATCACCATACCTTCGCAGATGCCACCCTTTTCCATGTTAAATGGAACTTCATTTTCGTGGTCTATATCTACAAAATAAAGACAATCGCTTAACAACAGTCAACACTGTCAACACTAATAACTATCTGGTAATGGTATTACATCAATACATGGTTAACCTTTTCAACTGCAGTGAGTGTCAGTGCCAGTGCTAAACCGACCAGGCTCTCCGACTAGTTACACGGCGGAGGACAGTTACAGGACAGGCGGAGGACAGTTACGACTAGTTACAATACAGGCCTCTCGCCACGTAGTGTTAAGCGAGATGGGAACTTGTGGCTATGCCAGTGCCAATATAAAACATTTTAATTAACAGAGTTCCAGTGAGATGTCATATGATAATGATAGCTTACCGAACCACTTATCTACACTGTCGTCATGAAGCTGAGTTGATTCGAAATCAACAAAAGTTGGAGCATTATATTCCCACTTTGGATCGTAACAGTCCATCTTTCACACTAGTAGCGTAGACCAGAGAGACATGATACAAGATTGGGGTCCGTCTAATTACCGAAAGGCACCGAAAGGCACCGAAAGGCACCGGAAGGCACCGGAAGGCACCGAAAGGCACCGGAAGGCACCGAAAGGCATACCGAAAGGCACACCAAAAGGCACCAAAAGGCACGAAATACACCGTAAAGCACCGTAAAAAACAAAACACCAGTAGAGCTAAGACTTTGACTCTTGAGGAATAACAGCATAAATACCTCGTGTAAAGTTGTGGAAGTGTTCAAAAAGATAGGTGAGATGTCCGACTCAGGGTCCAACCGGCCCATAACAGATTCGGCCCATACAGTATCGGCCTATACCCATTCGGCCCATAGCAAGATCGGCCCATAGAAAACTCGTGGTGGGTCGGAAAAGTCAACGCATAACATAAACACAAGACGGATTTTGTATTATTTATAGATAATTACACGCTTAAAAACGAAATAAATACTAAATAGCTACTCGATCTATCCGGCACATAAGCGACCTTATATATTATATATGTATCAATCTGTTCTAGGGTCTCTGTATCAAGAGCTAATAATATTTTATGGGCCGAGTCCGTATCGGCCGAGTCTGTTATGGGCCGAATTCGTAATGGGCCGGTTCGGCTATAGGCCGAATAGTCCCGCAGCCGAGATGTCCATGTTGATAGATAAGTGTTAAAAAGCCCGATCATTTTACGTTTTGGGGATAAATTTTTGGTCACATCAGTTGGACCATTTGCTTAGATTACATCTATGGCAGAATGTGCTATAGCCCTGCGGCAGCGATCCGCGGGCTATAGTACTAGAGCTATCCTTGAACCACCTTTTCAACTGCAGTGAGTGTCAGTGCCAGTGCCAGTGCCAATATAAAACATTTTAATTAACAGAGTTCCAGTGATATGTCATATGATAATGATAGCTTACCGAACCACTTATCTACACTGTCGTCATGAAGCTGAGTTGATTCGAAATCAACAAAATTTGGAGCATTATATTCCCACTTTGGATCGTAACAGTCCATCTTTCACACTAGTAGCGTAGAGTAGCGTATGCCGTGAACGATTTTGAAATATGTACCTCTTTTAAAACACGAGTTGTGATTGGTAGTTTGTTACGCGGCGCACCAATGGCTGCACATTCAGTTGCTGGTTTCCGAGTTTTCCGCCAGGGGTCGAAATGAGAAAATCATACACTAAAGTGTATGGTTATATCTGATATTAATATTAATAATTAAATGGAACTTTATGGAAGATCTTAGTCTATAATGGCAAACCCCATTAAGCTGTATATAATAATAACATTTTATAAAAATCATAGATGTGTTGTAGTTTTGTCATGTTTTTTATCATGTGCAACTTTGCATTCTTTCACTATGTAAGATGAGTATAAAATAAATTGAAAAATTAGTGAATGTGCTATCACACAGAATAAAGGAGAGAGATAATGCGGAAAGAGGCGTAAAGGGTAAAGGAAGCTTGATATAGCAGAAAGCCATTGGATGTGGATAAGAGATGAAAATGTCTATGACAGAGATGTGTAGATAATTAAAAAGGGGACAGGTGAATTGGAAGGTGAAGGAAAAGGAATTGGCATGCATTGCAAACTACTCCTACTGGCAAAGATACAATGAACATGCAAATACGGAGCTACATTTAAATTTATATTCAAAACTTACAAAAAGATCCCATTTTTAGCAAAAACATAAGTACCCCGTTTATTTATCTAATGTAGCCCCTACACATTCACCGATTCACATCCACAAAAACCTTTACCTATATGCATCACACAATTTAATCAACAGCATATTAGAATATATATAATTAAGCAGCAGGTAACAAATATTAGTCCTATTTATATTTAATTAATGGATATCATTCACGTAATATAATTTGACGAATATTACATTATTAGGTGGAATGTGAATGAACATTTAATTCCTATATCTTCGGCTCTCCTGCAACTATTTCACTCTCTATCCCACACTCATTGCTTCCACGCAGTATCTTGAAGAAACCTAAAATATAACAGAGACAATCAAAGCATTAATTACTTTTTCTGCAAACATTGGCAGATAATTAGAGATTGAAACGATGGTACATAAATATTATTCATAAGTAATTTGATAGCATTTCCAGGATGTATGTATAGTTTTTATGAGAGTAATCAATACCAGAATTAGTTGTGTTATTGTGAAATGGTATCGAAATTCTAGTTGTTTATTGTCTATGTGCCTTCGTTGGCTCTGGATAAAGGCACAAAAACATTTTGTTTACCACTATCACCCCAGGTTGGATTCCAGGAGTTAGCAACAAGCCAATATGGTACAGAATTCTCAACACCCCACCCCATGACCTTTATGGCATGGCCTCCCATTGCAGCACCAGTTACATGCTGGTATACACCTGGAAAGAAATAATGCCCAAATGTTATAGTCACGTGACAGAGGATTTCCTTTGAGCTAAGAATAGAGATCGAAAGAGATGTAAAGAAAGCAAGAGAAATTGAGGTACCATGTGCACACATCACGCATGATAGAGAGAAAGAGAAAGAGAGAGAGAGAGAGAGAGAGTGGAAGTGCGAGAGGAAGAGAGAGAGAGAGGAGCTGGAAAGAATAGGGGAGAGGGAGAGGGTGAGAGGGAGAAGGGAAGGAAACAAGACAGAGTGACATGTAGATAGATAGAGAGATATAGATGGGAGAGAAGCTGAAAGAGATAGAGACAAAAAAGCGATAGAGCTAATTAAACCTTACCACTTTTGTAGCTGGGGAAGTCAGCGTACACAGTGAAAGCGCCCTCGACGGGGCCATTTTTCATCAGCTCAGTCTGAATCTGGGTCACCCGATCAGCAATTGAATATGAAGACTTTCCTGAAAGGAAAAACAAGAACATTTAGCACCACAGTGGCAGCATCTTGTGCACAGTCAAGTATGCAACTGGTAACAGCCCCATACAACATAGCTAAATATATACCAAGCATCATTTAATTTCTGCAGAGTTGGGTAGAAATTTCATGTATGACAAAGTCCGAAGTGAGATGTCTAAATTTTACCAATGCCCATGCACATACTAAAACAAAAGTAACATAGATCATTCCATTAACAACTAATTTTTGGCCTGAATCAACCAACCAATAAAATCAAATAGCCAATCAATCTATCTATTTTTTATCAGTCAATTAATTGAACAATAATCTAATCTGTATATCACTCGATTGATTAAATGAATGATCATTGAATATTAAATCAATCAATCAATCATACCGAGATGCAGATCCTGCTGGTAAGTTTCTGGGAAGCTGCTCTCACACTTCTTATTGCAGCGAGGAGTGTCAACAATGCCCTCGCACGGCGGCAGCGTGCCGTTCACGTGATGTTCGCACTTAGCGACGCTGTATGGTCGGCAGCCCTCCTTCGTGTCATACTGGCCACCGCTCACTAGGCCCTGCTGTGTCCAAAAGTCCCAAGCGGACGACGGGAAGCCACCATTGCACCTGTGGACACGGAGGAAGAGGACGAGTGAAGAGAAGGACGCTGTGGTATTTGGAAGCGCGACGAGGTTTGCTTACGGCAAAAACAGGCTGACAGCTGTGATGAGATGCTAACCTCGTCTATGCATCTGTAAGTGTTTTGCACTCAAAGTTCAAAGAATCGCGACGAGTAGGGAGACAAAGAAGGATCACTGGCAACACTGGGGAACCGACTCCTAGATTCTTCTTTACCCGTTTCCACATTCGTCGCAGCAGGATAGCAGATCTTCAGCCGAGATGTGCACATTCGCTTTGCCTCCGGACGCGATGCAAATGCGATCGCTCATGGCCTCCACTGCACCAAACGCCTGCAAAGATTCGTACCATTGGGCCTAAGATAAAATATTGCTTGTTTCCCCTTTACCGACCGACTCGCCAAAACGCCGCTACTCGACACATTTTATTGGCCGATTAAAACAAAACAAAAATTATTTCGTTTCGCCAACAACAACAAAATCAAATTCGTTCCGCAAAAACATATACACAAAACAGAATATACAATATACATACACACATCTTGTCAAAACAAAATAAAAAAGATTTTTCACCTACCTACCTACTCGGTACCCTGAGAGGCGAGTAGGTAAAGGGGAAACAAACAATTTTTTAAGGGTGGCCTTGTAAAACGCTAGTTATCACACAGACACGCATGCATGCACACACAGACATACACAGACACACACACACACATACTTTGCCTAAGCATACAACCCACTTGCAATGTACCTGGATGTGACACAGTATGTATTTGTTTCATGTTCCAATGATAAATAACTACACAGCAAGTTTTTAAAAAACACCAGTTATCGCACACTCAAAGGTACACAAACACACAGACTTTATTTAACATGATCCACTTGTGATTTCTCTATATTAGTTTCACGTTTTAACGATGAAGAACTGAATTGAAAGTTATTAAATCATCATAGTAAGTTAGCTGCACACACAGGGCTATACCGACATGTGATAATGTAAGGATAGTGCAAAGCCTGCGCAACGTTGCATTCTTGCAGACTATCACACTTTTATTTTCACAACTCATAAAACTGTAGATGCACAGTGTCAAAAATCTGTTCTCAAGATGGCTTGCTAATGATGCGTACCCAGCAGGAACCACATGATCCCTGATCTCGCACCTCCTTCAATGTCGGACAGTTTGGCCACTGTTCCCTTGGATCGAAACGCTCTGGAATATCGCCAGTCTCCTTCTGCAAACACACACAGTACACAACAAGCCTATAACTAGTTTGTTGAACTTCGCGAGGGAGCTCAGGGAGGTTTCCGAGCAAAAGTTCCAACAGTTGCGCGGAATCGGCACCAGACCCGATCCTGTTCTCGAAACTCACTGTCACTCTGATCGATGCAATTAAAACGAAATTAAACAATTTATTTGAACAAAGAAATTCGATGTTCAAAAAAACTTGATGGTGAAAATTTACGGTTGTGTAACAAGTCCTAACAATGCACAAGTGCTTTGCTTTTGTCAGTGGCTCGTATTTTCAATCACTCACATGCCACTTCAGCGGTGGTTTGTAGTTGTTAGGGTGTGGAATAACCCCAAGAAGATTCCTCACATGACTGATCTTCAATGCATCAAAATTGTGTCCTGCCTGAAATGGATATTATATTTTATCAATTTTTCTATGTAAACTATCAAGAGCGTATAAAGGAGAGCGTACAACGGTGAAATGCTGAAACCATGTTGCAGTATTAGTAGAAACTTTGCCCATTTTATTTTGACGATTCTTTGCAGTATTATTGATCAGCTGTCCTACCTTGTTAATATGAAACAAACCGCATGTCCCTACGATGCCCCTACGCTGAGATAATAAGCGGTGAAAATCTGGTATTTTCGCCGAAAACCGACTCGAGATCAGTGTTTACTGCGACTGTCTCTCGCTTTGAGATAACTTCGGGAAACCTCGCGTGTTTCCGTCAATGATTGACAAATGGAATGAATATGACGTCTGTTATTGATTGCCATAGTGATGACCCCCACCTGTGCCCACCTAGCTCACGCTGGATGTATAGTAATCTCTGTAGTACTGACGTGAGTCAGCGCTACCATGGCGCTACACAGCGGCGACCGGAAGCAATACACTGGCCAGAAAGCGAGAGACAGTCGCAGTAAACTCTGATAACTCTAAACAATAAAACGGGCAAAATTTCGTAATTCTACTAATACTGCAACATCAACATGGTTTCACCATTTCAACGTCGTACGCTCTCCTTCTTTATACGCTCTTGAAACTATACATAATACTGGATACATAAATACACTATACACAGAGAAACAGAAGTCGAAGTAAATTCACTGCAAACTCAAATTTGTTGCATACCTTCCACGTTGTATTTATTTTATTGACGTAGTGAATGAGCTCTTTTGAGAGTGGCTTGTGTAGAGGAAAGACAGACGTGGCCGCAGCACAATATACGAGGCCTAGCGCTGTGGCTACTAACAGACATGAAACTAGGCGGTCCATTTCTGGAAATAGAAATCACACAACGTAGGTACTCATCCCTGTGTCATCTATTCTATGGAGTATCATTATGGTGTCACAGTCGGGTCGGGTCGGTGACGCTTTACACTTACAAGTTACAGCTCAGCTGGTGAAGAAACACGTACGATATAATAATAATATACAGAAACATTGCTTAATAAATAATGCCCTTAAAAATGTTTCGATAATCCTGATAACAAGACAATTCAATTATAATCTAAATTGAAACAAAGATGAAATAGCCTGAGAACTTACCACTTCGATACTGTAAGTGTAATGTGAGGAACTGCGTGATCATGTGATTCGCTTGTGACACATCACAAGGCGGTAGACTGGTTCTGGTTTACACATGCGTCACCAAACTCCACGACAGATGGCGCTCTCGCTCTGGCTCAATCCTGAGTGTGGGAAGGGGGCGCTGCATGCAGTTTGATGCGTCACATGCGTCTAAAGTTTAGACTCTAAACCATAGAAATAGATAGATCTATCTATTTCTATGGTCTAAACAGAGGAATTGCTCCGACCTGTGATTGGAGGATAAAAATAGACCCCGCCCACTCCCGCCGCATACGCTATGCTATGACGGGTAGGAACGTGTACTAACTATCATGATATGGAGCGAACGATTGGAGTTACATTTCTATAAACTCTAGCTATTATAGACACATGTCTTAGCCTTAATCTCTGTAAATTTTGAGTCTATTGAAGCGCGATTAGTCTAATTAATTAGCAAATATGCACGCGCGGCTATGACCGGTGAAACGAAACGTCACGAATTCTATTTTTATCCTCCAAAAATGGGAAAGTGGGCGGGGTCTATTTTTATACTCCAATCACAGGTCGGAGCGATTCCTCTGTTAGACCACTGATCTCTATAATATAATCTAATATAATATAACAATATAATATAATACCAGTAAAAGAAACTAGAAGAACTATAATAGGTGACGTGTTAAATAAGTTATTGATAACGGATAAAACGCAGAGAGTTGGATCAAGTAATAAGTAAAAGGAGCCAGAATAATTATAATAGGCGACAGGTAAGAAATTATTGATATCAGATAAAATAGAGCACGCTATAACAGGTCATACCTAAAAGATAAAAGCTGACAAATGACAGATGAAATCAGAATGACATCGGATACGAAGTAAATTATAATAGATAAAAGGTAGTAAATAAAAGGTAAATAATAGGTAAAAGGTAAAACAGGTAACAA